AATTACAGATGTTCACTGTGTTGATAGAATTTTTATATTCATTATCCTTGCCTCCGAGATATATTATATATTTTCTACTTCAGATTTTTTTCAAAATTACCACTAAATATGTCGACACGTGTTTTTGTTTCAGGACGTCGTGTAACACGCATTTTGTGCAAGTGTCGCGTTCTAATGTCACCGGATCATCCCAGTGGTTGGAAAGAAAGTTATTTTTGAAATGTAGACTACACGTAAACACTTGTGTAATGATTGCTTGCATTTAATGATGTAAACGAACTGTTTGTCTTTCTCTCCTCTCCGAAGAATATATGTACATGTTTCAAAAGGACACACACGTGCATACATACGTGCAATGTATAAATTCATCGAATACAACGAAATATTTCATATTGTACATTGATAGACATAGTTTTCAATATATATTACGAATCCGAATCATTTTACGATGACCGAAGCATCCTGTTTGATTATTTTACTGTGGAAAGGGTTGGAAATTGGCATCTTTTTATCAACAATGAAGGAAAGTCGATAGAAAGTTGGAGAGAGTTCGTGGTTCAATCCAAAATTGTTTGGAACGAGCAACTAAATGCCGAGCAAACGCCAGTTTTGCCATCTATGTTTTTGCATTTACCTAATTTGCGAGCGAATCCGTCTCTCCATCTTTTTTTCGCTACCTTGTGACCATTCACGCCTATTCACGTAAACATGACAAAATTTTACCACTGGGCGCACTTATTTCTCGGGGCTATTGGCTGATACGTTATGTGTTGGGTTGGTTACGGGTTTAATCACACTGATATCTCTCTTGCCGCATAACTATTCGTCCATTCGAACGAGAAGGAATCTTCGCATCCTTGACGTCCATCCTCCATCCGCCTCTGTCCTTCTTCTCTTCACCTACGACCGTCCGTTTTAATTTGCGTTTTTTTGTTTCTCGTTGATTTTGTTTTAATTTAATAAAATAACATCTTACCACGATCTCGCGTCTCGCTTGGCGTCGGGACCTGTTGCAGGAATGGTTGCATTGCTGTCGTTGTTACGGTCGGATTGCAAGCAGCAGCAGCAGCAGCAGCAGCAGCAACAGCAACAACAACAGCAACAACAACAGCAGCAGCAACAGCAAACGAGCAAGAGAGGACGTCCTTCAACGTCCAGCGCCGCAACAACAAGAAGCAGTGTCGTTTTGGCAAGCAGACGTGTCAGCAATACGTGGGACAGTAACAGCTACGACAGCGGAAACGACAATGGTGGTGGCGCGCGTACGTCTACTCGCGAAGTGGTATTTCCTGACTCGTTCGAGGTATTGCCACAGCCTTGTGATCTTAGTGTTGTGTATATGGGTGTACCGCACGAACAACAACGAAAGTTTCGGTGCCAGTTTTGCGGGAAAGGTTATAGATGGAAAAGCACGATGCGCCGGCACGAGATGGTTGAATGTGGAGGCAAACCTCCAGCTTTCCAATGTCCCATGTGCCCTTACAAGGCCAGACAGCGTGGCAATTTGACGGTACACTACAAGCGTCATCATCAAAAGATCGAGTACGATGAAGGTGCCGCTTAAAAGGGGCTCACAAATTTCCTTCTTCCCGGATTTACACGATCGTTCTGACAATACACGTACCACGTGTATATACACGTGTTCTTCTTTGCTTCATTCGTTTCGATTCGACGTACCTTCCACCGGATTCTTATTCAGTTAGTTTCATTTTTATCATCTTTATCTGCTCGGTTTCTTTTTTCTTTTTTTCTTTCTTTTCAGTTGTTCTCGTTTCGCACCTTTTTTTTCTTTCTTTCTTTTCGTTTTACTTCCCTCGTTGCAGCGTTGAATTCGATTCAGGCATGTAAATAGCAAACGGAGCAACCGCGAAAGGAATCGTTTCGATTTTCTTCTTCCCGAGTTCATTACCTCAGTATAAGAAATTTAATTAGAAATTTCGACTCTATATATATATATTGTACATATCAGGTATCCAGAAAACTTTCCATTGTTTTTTTTTTTTTTTTTT